CCTGTAAATCAGCACATGCGATCGTGAGAGTGAGTGGGCACATTTGTGTGGGCGTGTGCTTGTTATATCATCCAAGATCTCTGCTTTTATTGTATATGTATATTACATACATACATGACTGTGTGAGTTATTTTCAGCTCAAGTTACCCATTTCATGACATGTAATTACTTTATTTTACAAACACCCATAAATTAATTCCTTTATTGTCTAACCTCTCTGCATATCTTCCTGCAGTGCCTACATGACATAGTGTAAAACAAATTATTTAGCAGCGACGAGCTTTAACATAATGAGGATTTGTCACGGTTGCGGAGATTTATGAGGTGTTATTGAGGGCTATACTGCAAACCGATCTGTTTATCCATTATACATGAGCGAGTCCATTACATCTCCAGAGCCGATAAGTGAAGCAGAAAGAGGAGAATGTAGAGGAGAAAGGAAGACATATAGGCAAAGACGCTAAAGGGAAATATGAACTTCAGAAAAGGGAGGGAAAGAGAGCAAGGAGAGACGAATGAAGCAGCGCATCAAAGCATGGGCTGTATTATTTCCAGGTGAATGTTTTGGTGATAACTTTTTCATCAATACTACAGAAGATCAAACAATTTATAGACATCGCACATTTGCCACTGACGTCCCCTCCCTCTTCTGCAGGATGTTCCCCATGAAACATCTCAGCACGTCATCCATAAAAATAGACTGTGGAGTGTGATGATTGTGAACGTGTGGGTGACGCATGTTGTCATACGTAGCATTTATGTATTCTGACTCCTCACAAAGGTTTTACAGCAGGTGCCGTACAAGAAGGCTTTCTTTGGGAAATCAAATAAATGGACAATAAATCTGCGTTGACTTTTCCCCGTAATAAATAGAGCAAGACAGTTCAATATCTCATTTTATTGTTGCAAGATCTGCTGACTGTATGATCATTTTTGCTGGAGGGCGAGAATCAGGACGCGGGGATAAGGACACAAGAAGCAGTACATTAAACAGAAATACCACAGTGGCTTAAGTCCACATCACATCACACTTCTTTAGTCTTCTGACAAAATAAACAGCAACAGTTAATCTTCCAATTATATACTTTTCTAGCCTGAGAACAGGGCTGCCTGAGCCTCAGAGGATCATTAAGTGTTATTTAGACAGCTGTCAGCAGTTAGCCCAAAAAAGCAGTGCAATCTGGAATTCACTGCCTGGTCTGAGACTGTGAAACAGCAACATTCACATTTCTCTCTGTTACACTCCCACATAAATTAATTAAATGCACTTGACAGTCAGGGCATACTGCTAAATGATTTTTCTAGGACCATCTGAAAAGGTACAGATAGACATTTGAATAAAATCGTGTTGTGATGTATCTACTGCAGCATTATTTGGGTTTATCAGTCGACATACAATGTTTGGTAACTCCAATTGACCTTGGCATGTGGGCAATACCTAGAGGACATCCCATCATGACATGAAGAGGACCCAGATGGGGACTTGAATCCTGGACCCAGCCATGTGGGGGAACAATGCTGACCACTGCATCACTACTCCATCCCTGGTTCTCATAATGTAAAATAGTAAAATAATAGAGTAATCGTAAAATTCAATTAATTTTCAAACTGGATAATATAATTAAAGCCAAGGTTGCAAACAATTACACCGGAGATTGCCCACTGAAGTTAAGCTTGTGTGAAAGCATGCAAGAAAGAAGCAATGATTCTGGTGTTTTGCTTCTCCTGGCAACATATTCAGTCACTGAGATACTTACATCACCTGCCTGGGACGTATTTATATAAATTTCTCAAATGCAGCAGAAGTTCCGATGGAATTTGAGGGATGAACAGGATTTGTGCATCTCCCATATACAGTCAGAACTTCTGCTGCATTTGAGAAAAAATTCAAGATAATGAGAAAAGAATTCTTATCTAATTTTATTTCGTATCTTAACCACCAACAACCTAAAAAAACAAATAGATGTTAGAAGTCAGTATCTGCAGATAGGATGTAGGTGGACAATTCATCTTAATTATACCCTGAGCGATAGAAAAAGGACTTACTAAGTGCCTTTTACAGATAAATAGAAATCTTCTGACAGTGGGATATAAAGCTCATCCAAACATAATTGTTACTGATTGCATGCCATGCGCCGTACCTTCAAAAACAGGGCTGTGCCCAAGAGGGCACCAGTTCCACCTGAAGCAATTCAGTTCAGTTCATATCTTTTTCTGGTCTCCAGGCTTAAAATCTTGAGACCGTTTTTGGTCATTTTTGTTTCCTCAAGAAACAGCTTTATATCCAGGATGTTATTTGTTGGAAAGGGAAACAGGGACAAGTAAATATATTTCTACAAGGTTTAACCCTTTTGCAGTCCAGTAGGATCCCACATACATATAGTGAGGTCCAGGGGCATCAGAAATGGGGGGGTAGGGGAGGACCCCAATATCGGCAGACACCGCCCCCCCCCCCGTTTATACGGCTACTGTCTTGTTCTAGTTTGAATGGTAGAATATTTAAAAGCAGGCAGGTCCTCTTCTGGACATCGGCCAGTCCCGGTGGACAGAGCAGCATTTTGATCCAAGTCCAATTTATCATAATCACTGAGATCTACAGCTCAGCAATGCACTGCACAGCCCCAAAACAATCCACAAATCCAATTGCAGATGGATGCAGTAGTGGTCGGGAGCTACACATGGCATTCTTACAGGCAGTAAGCGTCTCAGTGCTCCACAGTGCTAATGAGCTGAATTTGCAGCTATTCATTAAGACCAGAGGCCTTTGCACAGAAGGGGTGCAGGGGCCTGACTGTCCATCGCATCTCAGATTAAGACATTTTGGGCCAAAATGTGGAGCTGTCTCTGGTTCTGAAGTTGCTGCGGTGGGTGATGGTGCTATCCAGCTGTACTGTGTTAGCAGAGTCCCTCATGACCTTCAGAAAACATCTTGAGTCCTGTCTGAGGGACAACCTGCCGATGGCCCTCCCTGGCTCTCCGCCTTCATTGACCGTTTCAGTAAAATGGTTTAATTTGCTGCTAGTGGATGATCTTGTTTTTCGCACTTCGCCTGACTCCTATCAAATAGTCTTGTGGTATTTGAATAGCTTTTCTGGTTTTAGGTCATAGCAATACTTTGCATAGCTTTTTTCCCTTAATACTATTTTAAACGTAGTGCTGTCAGAGTCAGCGCCTGTCCAACCCAGTCCTATGTGTTCAGTCCCCCTTTGGCCAGCAGATGGTGCTGGCCGTCCTGTTCCCTCTGTATTCATACTAACTCCCTAGAGTGTTTTCCCGCTTCCCATGCCTGCTGCATAGCTCACTGGGCCGAGCAGTAGCACCAAGGCTCTAACCTTGCAGTCATGGGATTGAGGTCAGCCTCACTTGTTTTGTTTTCTAGTGTTTCAGTTTTGTTTATCCTATTTGTGTCCAGTTTAATTCTGTTCTGCTTGTGTTTGTGTTAGTGTGTATTTCCCAGTATGTAGTTAATGTTTCCTAGTTTTGGTATTAAAGTTCGCTAGTTTCTGTGCTTGGTAATTCTTAGTGAAGTTTCTCCACCTGTGGCCTGTTTCCCTATACTGTGCTCATTGGATAATCGCATTGATGATTCACACCTGCCTTTTGTTAGTCCTTGTTATTTGTGTATTTAAGTGTCTGCCTTTGTCCTGCTCCTCAGTTTTCCATTATGAAATGTCATGGTGCCCTGTGTTTGGTCCTGCTTCTGCTCTCTGTGTTGCCCTGTGCTTGGTCCTGCTTCTGCTCTCTGTGTTGCCCTG